CTTATCTGAAAATTAAACTTTAGGCACTTTCTGGGAGTGACACCCAATACTGTTAACAGTGGTGACCATATTAAGACTAAGAAATGAATAACCACCAACTCTAGTTTAAGCTGCATTTCTACAATTTCAACCAAAGTCACCAAGAAAAACTATGACAATGCTAAAAAAAATTTTTTTTGGTACCTCAATGTCCAAAGAGCATCCTAACCAATCTGGCTTAAAATTTTGAACTCAAGCTATTTAATAGGGTATGTTTCCAATTAAAGTAAACAAAATCAATAGAATGAAAGTGATGGGAAAGGGATGTAGGAATTCTAGAGGGAAAAAAGCCTCAATTAGCTAGCTTATTTTGATATAATGTACAAAACAACAAATTCACATCTCTTAAAATATTATTAAGTAATCAGAGGTCAAGATAGTTATCCAGAAAATGTCACATCATCTTCTTTTTCTTTCAACAGTGGAACTGAAGGCACTACTTGTGTTGTAGGATTTTTTTCCTGTTACATTTCCACAAATTTGTTCTCAAAGCTCTACTCAACCAAAACCTAGTTGGCACTTACTGTCATGAAGATGCAGTGAAAGAAGAGTCTGCCAAATTTTAATCAAGATTAGATTAGATAAGATTTTAGTACAGCATACTCTGCTCAGAAAAAAAACAGTATTTTTCGTGGTTTCTCTGAAATACGCAACATTGCATTTTCTCACAGAATACTGTAGATTTCGGGGTGAAGGACGTCAACCCAGAAGGGCTGTTGACCTAGCGTGGGTAAAGGTGCACTTGTAAAACTGCTTAAATTAAATCCAAAAAAAAAAAAAAAAAAGTGCTAAGAAACTTGATTTGTTTTGGTTGAGAACAATAGGAGTCCAGAAAGATCTTCAGTTCCTAGAGCTTCAAACTGAAGGGCTGAGATGTCATTTTTCACAAACTGCTTCATCCAAGTTTCTTCCACTTGAAGAAGTAAGAACACACTACATTCCATAATGTATTCTTTTTGTGAGGAGCCTATCAAACTTAGGTTCAACATCATGGCCTACAGGTGTACGCTATAGAGTAGCTAAAATCCGTAAGAAGGAGACCACCACTACACAAAATGTCTGTCCAGTGCCCAAGGTGAGGGCTTCAAATGGGATCATTTCCTTTCCTGCTGCTCGGTATACTCCAGCAATTGCAGCACCTGTTCAAAAAAAAGGGTGTTAAAAAAAAAATCAAGGTTAATATAATCAGGAAAATACAGCACTTAAAATCCTACTGTATGGAGAATGTTCTAGATTTTTTACATTAAAATTTAAATATTATAGAAATGTTTTGTTTTCCCTATACTTTTTTGCTGCCTACTCTAGGTTTTAAGTATTCCCCATACAACTTACAAATCACTGATTAGTTCTTTTAGATGGTGAAAAGTGAGTCCTTAAAACTGGGTCTCCTAGATTTACTCAGTAAAATAATCTGGAAGTCATCACCAAAATCATGAAGATATACCAACTTCCCCATGACCTGATTACAAACTCAAAAACATCTCTTATTTGCCATGCTTAGCATTTAACAGGTACCTAAAAAAAACTTGGCAATAAACGCCAACAAAACTTCTGTGTGAGACTAAGCAAGAAATATTTCAGAAGCCACAGGGAATCCTCATTCCACCTTTACGGTACTCAGAGCTCCCCACCCAAAGTGGATAGAGGAGGGAGCAGAGGATGGGAAAAGGAGAGGATGACTCTACACTTACGAAGTTATTAATTCAAAGGGCATGAGGGGAGAGATCCTAAGGGGATCCTTTCTGTTCCCCATATCACTAATCGTTTTTATTATATTAGTCACCACAACTTCCTAGAAACTGAGTAAACCAAACAAACACAAACATCTTAATCTCCCTAGAAACCCATATAAATTGCTACAGGGACTCAGTATTGTACCAAGAAAGCCAAGATTTCATTAGTTGGACAAGAATAGATCCAAAGGTCCCAGATGACCCTCCTCTCAAAAACTGTTCCAAAAAGAATCCTCTTTGGTCAGTGTGTTCATTCTTGCAAATATTTGTTTACCTCTATGTCTGATAAGGTATGATCCCTATTCTCATTAATGCTCAGAATCAAGCTGAGACACAGAAGGAAAGCGTAAGCATGAAACAGATTTTAAATAATACAAGACAACATACAGCATCTCAATCAAATGTCTATACATTTTATACATGGGATATGAGGGCATATTTACATATTTTAAGAAAGAGCAAATGAAGCAGTTTCTGTATTGGCTGCCTGGAGTATCTGTGACTTGGAGATGCCCACCTCCAGTGGCTCCGCACACATATTGTGTCACTAACATGCGCAAGGCACCTGTTTCACTGGGCCCCTCATAAGTTAGCTCCAAAAAAAATGGATTGGGTAGAAAGAAGCTTAAGAAACTTGAAGTAGGCCCCAAAGTGGGGTTTGGATGATGAGGTAGGGAAGAAAGGGAAAAGCAGACCAGGGGGAGCAGCACAATGGGAAATAGACTCTATTCACACCGGAGTCTTAAAAATAGAATAGACACACTTATTGCACAGTTCCCAAGTGTTAGGTATTATGCTAAGTTCTTTAATAAACATTTCCTTTTATCATCACACAGCCTCAGAGGTGGGTAGCATTATCCTTATTTTACTGAGGAAAAATCTGAGACAGGTCCTAGGAGCCAGGAATCCAATAAGAAAACTGGAGCAGAAGGTCTCTAAAGAGCAGCTATAGGAGATACAGTTAAAAATACTATATAAAGCCAGTTATGGAAACACCTTTATGCAGACAGGAGAAAAGGGGCCTCCTCTTCTTATTACCACAAATGTTTCATCACCTACAGAACACACAGAAATGAGGCCACTTTGTCCCCCAAAAAAACTCAAGTCAAAGAAAGGGACAGTTCTGCTTAGAGCTCAAGGCTTAAATACACACACACACACACAAATTAGTAGGAATGTTATGTTTCTAATTTTTAAGCATATATTTATGTTGACACATACACCTAGAAAAAAAGTTTGAAAGCACATACCAAAATGCAAATTGCGGTTTTCACTTAGAGATGTGATAATGGAGTGTTTTTAGCTTTGCTTTCTTATAATTTTTAATTTATATAAAATAGAGATGATATTTACACTTAATCGTGTGCTTAAAAATGATTTAAACTTATTCTCATCTTTGTGACATGAGCAAAAGCCAAAAAATAAAAAAAAGTAAAAATAATTTATAATTTGTTATTCCAATTCTCATTCAGAAAGCTGTGAGAGGGGGCGCCTGGGTGGCTCAGTCAGTTAAGCGTCTGCCTTCAGCTCAGGTCGCGATCCCAGGGCCCTGGGATCGAGTGCCGCATCGGGCTCCTTGCTGCGGGGAGCCTGCTTCTCCCTCTGCCTGCTACTCCCCTGTTTGTACTCCTCTCTCTCTCTATGACAAATAAATAAAATCTTTTAAAAAAAAAAAGTTCTGAGAGGGGGGAAAAAATAACCAGAAGACAAATCAGGTACTTTCCTAAACAAGAATTCTTGTCATCAGAATTAGTCTTCCACCCTTAAAGTAGCCGCCCCTGAGTGAGCAGCACTAACTCAGCAACAATCTTGCGATGCCACCAGTCAATTGATCGCTGACAAGAAAGAAGCAGTGGCTTCCAAAAAGATAAACAGCTTCTCTTAGTAGAGACCTATCTCATAAAACCTCACCTGGCTTATCTGAAAGATAGGAGAAAATACAACCTAGGAAGTCAAAGATGTTAGCCAAATAATGGGAATGGGGGGGGGGGGGGCGGTAAGAGGTCAGAAAAAAACAATACACTAAACGAGAGGCCCGGGGTGAAAAGCCACTCTTTTTTTTTCTTCATTTCACTCAGACACGTTTCTAAAGTGGGTCCTGAAATTAAGTGACTAGTCATATGAACGGTTCGACTGGTATCATAATGTCTAACATACTTGTCAAGATTCCAGCAGTAATTGGTCCCACGATGCCCATCAACAGGATGCTTACAGACATGAACCTACCATATTTGTGATGTCTGAGGGTGAAGAGGGCCAGTAATCCAGCAGGGACATGGAAGAAGAGAGAGGACACCAGTGCCCACAGGAACACACCATACCACATCTCTGCAAGGAAAAGCAAACAGAGGGCGCAAGTCGCCGACTTTCCTGGTACAGTGATTACCAGGGGCTAGTCATTTTATCCGCTTATTTCATTTTCAAAGCCACCCAGGTGCAGTGTAGGCTCATCAGTCAAACATCCAAACGCTGATGGTTCTAGAGGCATCAGCAAACAGGCCTGCAGGCCACCGGCAGGTTTTGTGCGTCGTAAACTCTTCCTGGAACTCAGCCATGATCCTTCAGTTAAGTCTGGCCTATTGCTATTTCAAGCTACAAGAGCAGAGCTGAAACAGCACACAGCCTGCAGAGCCTGAAATATTTACTATCTGGCCGCTTCCAGAACAAGGTCGTCAACCTCTAAAATGGCCAATCATGTTAAGTCTTCTCAAATGAAAAAGCTATACAATTTTATTCATTCAACAATCATTTCAAGACAATGCAGTATCAGGCCACTGCCCCTCAGCATAGCAAAGCTCTTTAAGATATTAAATAAATACCAAAAAACAGAAATGTCTTGGCTTAGAGACAAATGGCAAATGAGGGCCAGGATGGAGGAGCTGGTTCCTATGGAGAATGTCTAGTTAACTTGTAAGATGACTGCAATTCAAGCAACATTAAAATATTGGATAACCAACTATGTCTAAAAACCTATGCGTGAGCCCCCTCGGGAAATAGAAAACAGGAGATACCATCCTGCCTCGTAACTTTGCAATCTGGTAAACAGCAGATGAAGCAATTTCCTCCACCGAGCCCAGGCAAGGCTTTGAAATTCACAAAATAGCCCTTTAGCTACCCACATGGATACAATGAAGGTGTCACATCAGATAAAATCCGTTGTCCTTTGCGCCCTAGAAGCAGGTGAGTAACAGGTAATTTCAGAATTCAGTCAACAGCTTAACTCAGCAATACTGACACCTGGACCAGTCAACCCTTTGTTGTGGGGGACTGGCCTGTGCACTGCAGGACACGGGGTAGTAGCCCTGGCCTCTGCCCTCTACTGTAGGTCAGTAGCACCCTCTCCCCAGTTCTGACAACCAAAAATATTTCCAGACTTTGCCAAATGTCCTGGTGGGGGTGGGGGGCTGGGGATGGGGTCAAAAATCGCCCTGATTAAAAACCAGCGGTCTGACTGACGCAGAGGGTCTGTAAAACTAAAAGCAGTTAAAACAACAAAGATAGGGGCACCTGACTGGCTCAGTCGGTAGAGCATGAGACTCTTGAGTTCAGGGTCATGAGTTCAAGCCCCACATTGGGAATGGAGCCTACTTGAAAAAAAAAAACCTACAAAGACAGATGGGGTCATGTTACGGTGGGTTTTGAAGGTCAGACTAAAAACTTCAACGTGAGGGGCGCCTGGGTGGCTCAGTCGTTGGGCGTCTGCCTTCGGCTGGGGTCATGGTCCCAGGATCCTGGGATCGAGCCCCGCATCGGGCTCCCTGCTCAGCGGGGAGCCTGCTTCTCCCTCTCCCGCTCCCACTGCTTGTGTTCCCTCTCTCGCTGTGTCTCTCTCTGTCAAATAAATAAATAAAATCTTTAAAAATAAATAAATAAATAAATAAATACTTCAACGTGAAAACCCTAGAAGCACCATTAAAGGCTTTGAGCAGTAAAAGGTTGTCAGGACATTATTTCACAGGTCCTACCTTACACTCCCAGTAGGAATACAAACTAGAAAACCTTTCTGGAGGGTAATTTAGAAGTGTGTATCCAAAAAAGTCAAGTGTGCATGCCCTTGGCCACAGCGACCTCACTTCCAGGAATATCCCAGGAACACCACCTATAGGAATACACATGCGGGCAAGGGCAGAGGTGCGAGGGTTCCGGCAGCTGTGTCTGTGATGGCAAAGACCAGATACCACATGCGTGTCCGTAAATGGAAGACCTGTCAAACACATTTTGGTGCACATAATGTAACATTACACAATCCCATAAAAACCTGGGCTAGATCTTTATATACTGAGGGGATTAAGATGCCCAAGCCATCTTGGGAAGTAAAAACAAACAAAAAAAAGCAGGTTGCAGAATAGTATATAGAAGATCCTGTTTTTGTAAAACAAAAGAAACAATGTGTGTATAAATAATTCTATGCACCCGGAGAAAAGTCTGGACATAGGTGTATTTAATAAATATTTATGACATGGGCAGGCGTTGTTCTAAGTGCTTTATAAATCTTAACCGTGCAATCCTCTAACACAACACTATGAGGCACAGATCATGAATATCCCTGGCTCCTGGATGAGGAAATAGAGGCAGACGGAGGGAAGGAACGTGCTGGAGCCCACACTGATGGTGAGCCCCACAAGGCCAGCAGGAGGAGAGCCCGGTTGGAGCCCTATTGGAGCCTAGTTGGAGCTTGACACCCGAGGCCATGCCCTCATCCTCTATGCTGTACAGCAAGCAACAGCAAAGTGTTATTTCTGGGGAGTGGGATAGGCTGGGGAAGGGCTAATGACCATTCACTTTTTACTCTGCTTTTTTTTCTCTTTTTTTAAGTAGGCTGCATGCCCAATGGGGGGCTTGAACTCACAATCTTGAGATCAAGACCTGAACCAAGATCAAGAGTGGGATGCTTAACCGACTGAGCCACTCAGGAGCCCCTACTTTGATTTTTTTAAAAAAAGCTTTTCTAGCTGCTTACTGGCTTTTACAAAATTATAATAAAAAGAAACTAGAAAAAGGGCGCCTGGGTGGCTCAGTTGGTTAAGCGACTGCCTTCGGCTCAGGTCATGATCCCGGAGTCCCGGGATCGAGTCCCACATCAGGCTCCCTGCTCGGCGGGGAGTCTGCTTCTCCCTCTAACCCTACCCCCTCTTGCGCTCTCTCTCTCACTCTCTCTCTCTCTCAAAGAAATAAATAAAATCTTTAAAAAAAAAAAAAAGAAACTAGAAAAAGAAAAAAAGAGCCTTTGTTTCTAAAAGAGCAGTTCAGGAAGGCTGATCTGATTGGAATGTTACAGAAACAATGAGGAGCACCAATCAGCCTGGGGACAGTGGAGAGCAGGAAGGGAAGGACCAGGGGCTTTTCTCAAAGCTGTCTCTGAGGCTGGACTTGAAGACGCTCTAAGAATTACCACTGTGGATGTTTTCTTTCCAGATCAATTTCTGAACTGTTGGGGGTGAGAGATTAGGAATGGAGGCCAAATCCCTCTAAGCCACCCTTGGCATGGTCACTGATGACTGTTCTAATTCTTCGCTCATTTTGACTCACATAAAGTTTCAATTAATACCTAAATTAGGACACCTAATTCAAGCTTTGGTTCCAAATGAAAGTATCAGGCATGCCCCATCTAGGGCTCAAGGCTTATTAAAAATAACAAATGACTAGGGGCGCCTGGCTGGCTCGGTTGGGTGTCTACCTTCGGCTCAGGTCATGATCTCGGGGGTCCGGGGATGGAGCCCCTCGTCGGGCTCCCTGTTCAGCTCACCAGGGAGCCTGTTTCTCCCTCTCCCTCTGCCCCCCTCCCTCCGCTCACGCTCTCTCTCTCAAATAAATAAATAAAACCTTTTTTAAAAAATAAACAACTGAGGTGTTTTGGCACTTTTGCTCTGGTGGAAAGCTATCAGATAGCTATAAAAAATTTCAAACCATTTGTGAAATTTTTTTTTCTTTTTTTTTTAAGATTTTATTTATTTGACAGAGACACAGCAAGAGAGGGAACACAAGCAGTGGGAGTGGGAGAGGGAGAAGCAGGCTTCCTGCTGAGCGGGGAGCCCGATGCGGGGCTCGATCCCAGGACCCTGGGATCATGACCTGAGCCGAAGGCAGACGCTTAACGACTGAGCCACCCAGGTGTCCCGAAACTTTTTTTTTTTTTCTGAACAGGATATATCTTCAGAATAATTTTATTACTGTTGAAACTGGTCTATTTGATGGCATTTGGCAAATTCTGCTAAACCAAGTTAGATCATGCAATACGGAGCATAAAGTGATTAAAGAGTAAGGTCCCAAGCTTAAAAATTAAATATGCATAATGTAAAAAACTAATATGTATAAAATATATAACTATATATACACACACTAACTACTGTCCCTCCTCCGCCAAAGAAAAAAACCACCTTTCCAGTCAATATGTTGATCAGAAATTGCAGGCAGGGTTCTGAATCCTCACAGTTTGAGCCCCATTCTCTCTGGAAATAAACCTGTTTACTACCGCAGCCTCCTTTCCAGCCTCGGCCTGGAGCTCCTCCTGCTTCCACAACCTAGGAAACTCGCCCTCCATGCTGGGCAGCAGCTCCCAGACGTTGCACCGTCTAGTGTCCCGATACTGCCCGTCCAATAAATGCGCACCGGCCAGAGCTGTGGTGCCCACAAATCCCTCTCGCCTGGGCAGCCTCTGTAGCACCCTGGCTCAGGGAGGGCAGCCTGTCTTCCCGGCCTAAGCCGCCTCCTATACCAGCCACTACTGGCTTGACCCCAGGCCACAGCCCGGCCCCATGCTGTTCCCTCCCAAAGCAGGAACCCCATCTCCAGTCCCACAGTCCTTACTAGCTACTCCCCCGGGTCACACGCAGACTCTGCCCTCCATCCCACCACCTCGTCGGCAAAATGCTATGGTGACACCAGGAACACCACTGTCCCAAGAGGGGACAATGGGATGCAAATCTGCCTCTGAGAACTCAGAGCAGTGGCCATCCTGCTGATGACCTGATACCACTCGTGGGCCCTGCTGGAGCTCCCCAAGCTTTAGAGGTGAACTGGGTAGTGAACTGGGAGGTGAGACACACCAACTTGATAACCTCCATGAAGGTGGGTCTGATAGGCCTCAGGCCTTATAAGAAGAGGAAGAGAGGTATCTCTCTCTCTCTCTCTCTCCCTGCCATGTGAGGACACAGCGAGAAGGCGACCCAAGAGGGCCCTCACTACAACACGGCCATGCTAGCACCTGGTCTTGGCCTTGCAGGCTCCGGAACTGTGAGAAAATAAGTTTCTATTATTTAAACCACTCAACCTAGGGCATTTAGTTATAGCAGCCGAAGCAGACTAAGACACCAACACTCACTCCCAAT